CCCTACAGATTTAAGCATAAACATTGCTTTCCGCAGCTGTGAGTGTCTCCAGCTACTTGAGATTTTGCTTCTCGTATTTTTTTTCCGCTGTATTAATTAGCAATTACAGATGAGTTGAGCATTAATTGAAAGCTCTGTTTTCTCTAACCCCATAAAAGTTAGTTTGAAGTGTCACCTTTCTTTCCGGTAACTGGGAACTCACATCCATTCCTTCTGTTTATTGAGAGTAAAAATACACTCTTTGAACACAAAATGTTTCTTCTGTCTTGCCAGAACCGAAAATCAGAGTCAGCTTTTTCGTAAAAGACGATTATGAGAAGAAACTACTACCCATCCTCCTAGGGAGAAAACAAACAAACAAACAAAAAACCCAGAAAACAAGTAAGCTAATAAGAGGGAGATTCAATTGGTAGACATAACTCAAACAATAAAAATTAAAGGCAGTGGTCAGCAATATCCTCCAGCAGTTCTTGTGTGGTCCTGTGTGGTCTAGGAGAGAGCAATCATTTAAAGATTTCTTGCAGGGCAATGAAATTACTGCTGAATGTACCCCGATTTCCCATTAAACAGAAAGATTAATTTCATTTAAAAATGTCGAAAGGGGTAGCCTTTCTGACGTCTGAGTAGAAATTAAACCCAAATTAAACCTATGATTAACAGGACAATAACACGGAAAAATTAACCCTACCTGTTAAGTAGACTCGAGTTTTTAATCGAAGTAATGAAAGTGGCGAAGTCCGGGCATTAAGGCTTTGCTTGAAGCTAAGCTCGCTCGGACCAGGGGAGATCCTATTGGAAAAGAGCGAGGAGAGAGGCGCCCGGTCCGGACAACGGACGGGCCACCAAAGCCTCCTGTGGGCAACGGTGCCAGGAGGGCTCTGGGAGCTCGGTTACGGCTGGGGTCTGGCGGGGGCTCTTCCCCGAGCCCACCGACCTCTTGGCCCATTGCGGAGCTCTTTGGGTGCAGCACAAGGAGTCTCGTCTTGCCTCCGAGGCCAGTACGCTGGCTCCAGATCCGTGGTTTTGAGAAAGGAAACAAGCATCCTCCCGTGAAGATGTTCTCAAAAAATATTTTATTCGTACTCACTCGGGTGCTACAGGGAAAATGGGAGCCATAATGGGGTAATGGGGATTCCCGTTCGATCTCTCAAAAATGTAAAAATAAGTATAAGCCTCCCCCAAAACACTAAAGGATAATTTTCATTTCAGGGGAGAAAAATTCCTCATATGCAGCTTGGGATATAGCAGTACACAGCTCAGGCTGAGTCTCCTCTGCCCACCGCTGCACTCACATCCTCT